AATTTTTTTTTTTAAGTTGAAAGAAATAAAATCTGAGAACCGGCCCTCCACAAATTGGCCTGATTCCAGTTAAAAGTGAAGTTTAGTGTCTTTTCCTGTTAATTGGCTATTCAGAATCACCTCTTCCATGGATATTTGCCTATTGATTTTTACTCTGTTGTCATTTTCTTATTGATTTGTTGACTTAAAGACACACAACATAAGAGTTGTGAGTTGTAAGTTTTATTCAGGTTCTTGCTGAGGATCATAGCCCGGGAGGCAGCCACTCAGTTAGTATAAGCATATAGGTTAGGGGGTCCTTGGAGACAGAGAACCAGGAATGGCTTTCTTGACATGAGAGGACCCATTTTGGCCTAAGCCATTTTGTCATCTAAGCCTAGCCATAATTCTTGCCCTTGAACAGGTCTCAATAATCAATGATATTAAGGGAACAAAGGAATGCTGGAACAGAGGAAAGGCAGTCAAACAATAGTGCAGTGATAAAGCAGAGTTCTAGTTCCTCCTCAAGGGATATACATAATAATGTATCTTTGAGTTGCACAGGAACTAAGGCCCTCACTTAGGTAGAGGAGAGAATGATGATCTTGACTCTCCTGACTTCAGTCAACTAAAGTTTGAACACTGTCAACTTTTGCCCCAGTTTTATGCTGAATTCTTCTCTGCTCAAGCCCCTTCTTGAATATGCATGTACCCTTAGCTTAAAACTTCCCCAGTTTTGCTGTTCCTGGGAGACACTGCTTTGGAAAAGATCCATGGTGTTCTTCTTACTTACTACAAGTAATAAATCCTTCCTTCTCCCCATCTTTGGCTTGGTTGTGCCTGTTGGCTCGGCAGTCACCAAGAGATGAACCCAGTTTTGTGGTGACATTAGCTCTGAAGAAATCGCTCTGAAGAGGTAGGGGAGAAGCCCTTCTATATATGAGTTTTGGCTAGGAACTACATGCAGTAAGGCATACATCTTGGTAAAAGATTTATTGCTAATCATAAAGAAAAACATTTCTCAAGTTAATCTTTTTAGGGCTTATCTCTGTATGGGAAGATGTAAGAATCCAGTGTCATTAAAATTCTTCCTGAGATATTCATCTAACTACCTATGGGGCTTGCCTATTCATGTACATTCTAAGCCCAGAGTGCCTCATTCTGTTTTCTATTTAAATTCCTCTCAGTGCACTGTTGATTAGCAGCTGCAGTGGATTACAACTTAACCCTTGTCAAACTAGATGTTGAGACTTTGTCTTAGTGATCCTAATTCTTCTGCATCCCCAGATTCATAAGAGCTCTTTTTACAGTCTAAGTTTTCGTCTTTTTCAGTTAAGTGTTGCGATATATGCTTCCAGTCTGCAGCTTGTTCTTACTGTTGTTGATGTCTGTGTTTTATTTTAAAGTAAAATGTTATGCTTGAAAAGGAAACCAAATCTTGTAAAGTTAAAGTCAAGCTCATTGTAACTTGAGTTTAATCCCCATTTCAGAAAAGAATTTGAGACTTTGCCGTTACATTCTAGAAAGGGATTAATAAAAACATATCTAAAGTTTGGCTTATGCTCTTTCAAAAGGAAGTACATATTGTGCAATATGGGGGAAATAGGAGACCATTTTATTTGACCATAGGAACAAAACACATTATCCAATCAAGGAATACCAGGACTCAAGCTAATATTTAATTTTATCTTCTGATACCGGGGACTTTCGCTCAAACTGTTTAGAACTTAAATGGGGCATAAAACCTGTGAACAGTCATCATCTTCAAACCCTAAATATGTGGCTGGTTTAGAAGAAAGAAAATTATAAAGATGTTGACTTCTACTGTATTTCATCCAATCTAAGATAACTTCGGTTGTATGATACACTACTATTTTATGTACCAAGTTCTCCATTTAAATATGTCAAGCCCATGTATATACTGATGTGTATAAAATTGATGACTAATAAGAATCTGCAGTATAAAATAACAAACAAACAAAAAAGAAAAGCAACTAACACTAAACTTTCTTTGGGTTATTTGTGTGGAAATATGTTAATATAAATGTTTCAGACATTACATGAAATTTCTAAAAATCTTATATGTTCTGATATAATGTTATAAGTCATAATTCTAGTTATTACTTTAAAATGTATATCTCAGAAATAACTAAATTTCCTTGTCAGTTGCATTATTATGAACTTTCATCAAATCTTTTTTTTTTTTTTTTGTGGTACGCGGGCCTCTCACTCTTGTGGCCTCTCCCATTGTGGAGGACGCGCAGGCTCAGCGGCCATGGCTCACGGGCCCAGCCACTCCGCGGCATGTGGGATCTTCCCGGACTGGGGCACGAACCCGCGTCCCCTGCATCGGCAGGCGGACTCTCAACCACTGTGCCACCAGGGAAGCCCTTCATCAAATCTTTAACCATGGTCATTTTTAAGTCTTTCGTCATTTACAGACAGTTCTGGGTGTACTCTGATGCTCTCACAAAAATGTTCCTATAAAGGGGTTTCATCTTCAAGGAATTCATGGAAAAGACTCTGACAAGTACAGGTTTCTGGTAACTGACTATACTGCTGAACTGAATGAATAAGCATTTTCAGAACTCTAATGGAAAACTGATGAATTCATAAAAATGCTAACAAAAGATCAAGATGAAAAATAATTAATTACATGGGACTGAGTGTATTGATGAGGGTGATTATAATTTTTGTGACTTTCTGTTTGAATAAAAAAAAAAATCCCACAAGGACTCAGAGGGAAAAAATATACAAATCAATTTTCACTGCAAAGTAGAGGGACTGTTACAGTGGAGGATTACTGGACTGAATGCCAATATTATGACATAGTATGAGTGTGTTTCGTGTTTGGTAATTGCAATCATTGTTGCTTTTGTTGTGGTCATCCATTTACAATGCTTGATGTCAGTTTATTTATCTCTTGTAAAAATAAAATACAGTGTGTGTGTGAGTGAGTTGTGGAGAAAAAAAAAGAAATTCAGTTTGGGTTTTTAAAAATATCTTCTATGTTTCTACTTAACTTTTAAAATTTATGGATTACAGTTATAACTCTTTTAATGTCCTTGTCTACTAATGCTAACATTTGTGTCAACTCTGATAGATTTTTCTCCTCAGTTTAGATCATAGTTTCCTGTTTTTTGTAGGCTTGGTAATCTTTATTGGATTCTAGAAATTTTGAATTTTGTGGGTTCTGGGTATGCGGTATGTAATTTGTGGAGGTATACTGGCAAAAGAATCAGTGAAACCATCAAAACTTAAATATCATTTACATGCAGAATTTAGTAACATTTGCGTTCATCAAGAATATGTGTAATTTGCACATGATGGTGATAAGAAGGAAAAATTAGCATATTTTTTCAGCTTAGTTGCCATCAAACATAGTGAACTCTAAAATGTACAAAACTGTGGATCATTACCCTGTCAAAAATATGGTTTGGAGTTAAAGTTTTTCATAGGAGTATCTTCTGATGGTTCAACTACAATGACAAAAATATTCTGCAGTAGTTACTCAGATTGTATGAATTTATATATTATATGTATACTTATTTATTTTTCAGATAAACATGTTGATATCACACTGTAAAAAAAAAAAATAGCCAGTGGCCAATGATTTAATCAATCGTGCCTATGTAACAAAGCCTCCAAATGAATGGGATTTGGAGAGCTTCTGGTTTGGTGGTCATGTGGAGGTTCAGGAAAAGTCACATTTTAGGCAGAGCATGGAAGCTCTGCACCCTTTCCCCATACTTTGTCCTATGCCTCTCTTGTATCTGGCTGTTCCTGAGTTATACCCTTTTATAATAGACCAATAATCCAGTAAGTAAAATGTTTCTGTGGGTTCTGTGAGCCTCTCTAGCAAATTATTGAATCTGTGGAGGGAGTCATCGGAACCTCCAATTTGTAGCCTGTTGGTGAGGAGCACAGGGGACAATCTGGACTTGCTATCCTCTGAAGTGGAGAGGAGGACAGCCATATAAGACTGAACCCTTAACCTATGGAATCTTATGTTATCTCTGGGTAGATAGGTCAGAATTGATTTGAATTGTAGGGAAACCCCCTCCCACTCTGCAACACATCAGAATTGGTAACCAGAAAAATAGCAGGTGAGACTTTTGTCCACAAATGGCCTTGTATCATTTAGGATCTTGTGTTTCAGAATTGTCCCTCCAGGTTACGTATTTTCTATTTCTATATATTTCTATAAATATGTTCCTATATATATGCTATAAAATTTTAAATGTGTAAAATATACAAAAATTCCTTAAAGAAACCTAAATAAAATAATGTAATTGTAAAAAAAAAAAATCAATGTTGCAGCCTTAGCCCCATTCACACCTTGATGTAGTTTGTAATAGAAAAAGCAGCAGTAAAATTAAAAATGTTGTTAACTTCCAATAAATAAATAAATAAATATATATGTCAAGCCATCAACTGTATGCTGTATTTTAACTTCAGAGTTATTAATACGTGGGAAAAATTTTCCATCTTAGAATCTATGAAAGAAAGTTTCACTCAAGAGAGACTCAAAAATTTCCAGGCCCACTTACTAATACCAGCATACAGTGGGGGGTGGTAGAGGAGATGAGATATTCAGTATTAAGATTTTTTTTTTTTTTTTTGGCTGAGTTGGGTCTTTGTTGCTGCGTGCAGGCTTTCTCTAGTTGGGGCGAGCAGGGGCCGTTGAGGTGTGCAGGCTTCTCATTACAGTGGTTCTCTTGTTGTGGAGCACGGGCTCTAGGCACGCAGGCTTCAGTAGTTGTGGCACATGGGCTCAGTAGTTGTGGCTTGTGGGCTCTAGAGCTCAGGCTCAGGAGTTGTGGCACACAGGCTTAGTTGCTCCATGGCATGTGGGATCTTCCCGTCCCAGGGCTTGAACCCATGTCCCTTGCATTGGCAGGTGGATTCTTAACCACTGCACCACAAGGGAAGCCCTGAAGAGTTTTTACTAAAATAATGAACCATGTAGTTCAGTTACAATTTATGTAGCATTGTAATGATACAAAGACTCAGGGCAGATGTTCTATGGTAAAGTTTTATGACATTTAAGCACATGGACTAGGAAGTCACAACTGTTACGCTAACACACGCAATTCCCAAATACAAACAATCATTTTATAATAAAAATAGGTACAAAACACTTACATATTCTCACATGGTTCTGATATAACTTTTGCTTTGTTTTCTGACTACTGTATTTATTTACATATTTAATGCTTTCTATAGTGCTGTTTATTATGTCACAGTTACAGAAAATTAATTCCCTCATAAAATGATACCCATGAAAGCATGATTCCAAGATTCTTTAAAGTATAGACTTTTCCCCTGAATGTCAATTCTCTGATACCAATGTAGCTGAATTTCATACCAACAACATCCCCACGATTAAAACATATGCAGAAGTTCCTATTTATTCTCTCTGGGCTACATTCAATTGACTTTCATCGGGTAAGGTATTTCCTCCGTCTGGCATTCTATGCAGTACTGCTGTCTGATAAGTAATAAGTTGTGATTCTGAAAAGAAAACAGGTCCACATCTGCTGCAGTCTTAAGGTTTCACTCCTATGTAAACTCTGGAGTGTAAGGAGCTATTTCCTTTCAATGACAACTTCTGGATATCATTTGGATATTTCTTCACAATTTCTCTCTATGAGTTTTCTGATGTAAAATGAGGCTGAACTTGTGGGAGAAAGTTTTCCAACACTCACTGCATCCATAACGTTTCTCACCCGTGTGAGTTCTTTGATGTATAATAAGATGTGACCTCTGGGCAAAAGATTTCTGACATTCGCTGCATTCGTGGGGTTTTTCTCCTGTATGTGTTTTCTGATGTAAAACGAGGCTAAACTTGATAGGGAAAGTTTTCCCACATTCACTGCATCTATAGGGTTTCTCTCCTGTATGGATTCTCTTATGAATTATGAGGCTAAACTTGTGACAGAAAGCTTTCCCACATTCATGGCATTCATAAGGTTTCTCTCCTGAGTGAATTCTCTGATGAATAAGGAGATATGACTTCCGGCTGAAGGCTTTGTGGCATTCACTGCACTCATAAGGTTTCTCTCCGGTGTGAGACCTCTGATGAATAGTGAGATGTGACTTTTGGGTGAAAGCTTTCTGACACTGACTGCATTCATAGGGTTTCTCGCCTGTATGAGTTCTTTGGTGTAGGATGAGACTAAATTTGATGGAGAATGTTTTTCCACATTCACTGCATCCGTAGGGCTTCTCTCCTGTGTGAGTTCTCAAGTGAATATTGAGGAGTGACTTTACACTAAAGCCTTTTCCACAGTCACTGCAATTATATGGTTTCTCTCCTGTGTGAGTTCTCTGATGTCTAATGAGCTCAGATCTCTGGATGAAGGCTTTCCCACATTCACTGCATCCATAAGGTTTTTCCCCTGTATGTGTTTTTTGATGTAAAATGAGGCTAAACTTAAGGGGAAATGTTTTCCCACACTCACTGCAACCATAGGGTTTCTCTCCTGTGTGAGATCTCTGATGAATAATGAGCTGTGACTTATTACTGAAACTTTTCTGACATTCTTCACATCTGTAGGGTTTCTCTTCTGTGTGAGTTCTTTGATGTAAAGTGAGTTGTGACTTATCGCTGAAGCCTTTCTGACATACACGACACTCAAACCATTTCTCTCTTGTGTGAGTTCTCTGATGTTTATTAAGGCATGACTTATCAGTAAAGGCTTTCCCGCATTTGTTGCACTCATAGGGTTTCTCTCCTGTATGGGTTCTCTGGTGTAAAATGAGATGGGACTTCCGCCTGAAGGCTTTCTGACATCTACTGCATCCAAAGGATTTCTCTCCTGTATGTGTTCTTTGATGCTTAATGAGGTCCGACTTCAGAGAAAAGGCTTTCCCACAGTCACTGCAGTTATAGTGTTTCTTTGCTGTTTGAGTTTTCCAATATTTAATAAGCTGTGACTTATGGCTGAAAACTTTCATATGTTGATTATATTCATTGTACTTTTGTCCAGTATGAATTTTCTCATGCTTAGTGTAAAGAAATAATTTGTCATATTGAATAAATTCAACTTCCTTTCTTGCATAGCTTTTATTCTGAGTAATACACTCTAGATTAGGTTTCAGATGCTTCCCAAGTATGTCAAGTGTATGAGATCTTTGTGCTAAGGAGATATCAAGGTTTAAGCTCAGAGAAGATATATTTCCAAATGCACTATCTTTGTGGTAACTCTCCATAGTTTCCAGGTTGCCATGGTTTCCTTTGTGCCAGTCTCTATGATTATCAACTTGCCATGTGTCTTCTAGAAACAGACCAATGAATCCATAATGACCATGTAATAGAAGGAGTAGAATCTCAGCAAAGGCCAAAGAGACAAGAGGAAAGGAGACTGTGGGTATATACCTAAAGTCTGTGACATTTATAAGTGAAAGGAGATAAAGAAAATGAAAAAGAAAAGAAAAAAAGAAGGAATAAACTACAAGAGGCATGAGAGATACACAGAATGGGAAGAAGGGAGAATTTATGAATGCTTGAGTATATAAGAAAAGAGAGCTATAACCATGGATTAGGGAGGTAGAGACAAGGAGAAGGCAGGTAAACTGAGGATAACAAGAAGAAAGATTATTTAGGAGAGCAAGTTCCAAGATGGACTAGAGAGGGATCTGATCAAAATATCTAAAATAAGGAAATGTGCTTTTTAAAACCAGGCAAAAGAGACCTAATATGGAGAGATTAGAAAGTGGAGTCATGGCGTTTTCACTGCCGAGGGCCTGGGTTCAATCCCTGGTCAGGGAACTAAGATCCCGTAAGCTGCACAGTGCAGCCAAAAAAAAAAAAAAAAAAAGTGGAGTCAATATTAATGTATATGGGAGCTCACACCAGCTGTTCTGAGTCACATTGAAACCTTAAAAATTTCAAGATTTCTCCAGACATTTCAGAGGTACCTCCCTCTTTCTGGCCAACTAGGATTTTAACTTCCTTTTATCCCACAGGGCTATTTTTTCACTCACCTGGGTGAATCTGACTCTGGCTTTCTTCCTCTATTATCCATGGTGTTTCTTGTTCCAACCGGTAGAATGCATCTGTTTTGGTAACTTGATATGCTACTCAAGGGGAATTACAGAGGACCCATGGACCCAAATACAAGCCCTCTGTAAACTGGGAAAGGTTACATTTAAGGGCCTGAACAAATTGCACCTCAGCCAAGTAAAGGACTTTTGCTTTGGAAGTGAGAGAAAAATACTGTTAGAGGCCACAGGGTACTGAAATCTATGATGTATGAAACTCAATTCTAAAAAAGTAAGGCAGTTGTAAGCCTCCACCCCTTTCATCCCTGAGAAAGAAAAGGCAATCCGTTGCCTACATTACCCAGGAAATGCTCTTCTTACCCACTGATACCAAGTTGATATAATTTTCCAACATCACATCTTGATACAGGTTCTTCTGAACACGGTCCAGTAGCTGCCACTCCTCCCAGGTGAAAACCACAGCCACATCCTTGAATGATAGTGAGCCCTGTAATAGAACATTCCTATTCATCCTAAAGGGATCATCATTGGTTCATACTAGGAAGATAAATAGGAAATTCTTATTATTTTTCCCATGGTAAGCTATTTGACTTCTTTCTATGTAACTAGTTTTGCATTATACTTTGTAGGAAAACCAATTTTTTAACTTAAAATATCCTATCTTTGTGCTTCCATCCAGTCATTCACTGACTCACATGTTCATCCATTCACAAAAAAAGGAGTAGAATAGAGAACATGCTTAAGTCCTTTAATCTAGGAACCCACACAACCTGTGTGTATGCACCTATATGTCAGACAGTATATCAAGCATTCCTTTGTAAATAAGTCTCACTTCTACCCTGAAGGAACACACTAGCTTGCAAAGAGAGAGAAGTAAGTGCACAAGAGAACAATAGATTTATACATGTCAAGTAAGTATATATAAATATATACCATGTGGGCATCAATGGGGAGGAGAAAAATTGTAAAGGGTAAACTTCACAGAGGTGAATCTGGAACTAATTCTTATGAGATTAAGTCTATGTTTTACGGCGAATTGCAGAGGGAAGAGGTGGCATGGCATTCCAGAAAGAAGTAATATGAATGATAGCACAGTGAAACCATGAGCATTCAAAACACTGAAAATACGTTTCCTCCTAAGTTGTGAAATTAAATGACTGAATTTAGAGCAGGTGGTGTACTCAAAACATTTTCCACTTATTATTATTTGTTAGTTATATACTGATAATGGAGAGACTTCCAAATAAGTGGTTAAGTGTATATATGTTAAAAGAAAGTATATAAACTCTAACATTAGTTATGACAATGTGTATATTTAGGTACTGTGTAGTAAAGCAGACCTGGGTTGCCCAAACCCTGTACATTCCAAAGAAAGGCCTGTCCTTGATTTGCTCCTGGGAGATAACTTTGAACCCCTGAAATATCCAGCCTGATGAAGGTTTTTATATTCCTGAGGTCTTGGGCTACACTATATCAGTGTTCTTTGTTTTTTGTGTTTTGATATATAGTTGATTTACAGTGTTGTGTCAGTTTCAGGTATACAGCAAAGTAATTCAGTTAAAAATATATATGTAGGGCTTCCCTGGTGGCGCAGTGGTTGAGAGTCCGCCTGCCGATGCAGGGGACACGGGTTCGTGCCCCGGTCCGGGAAGATCCCACATGCCGCGGAGCGGCTGGGCCCGTGAGCCATGGCCGCTGAGCCTGCACGTCCGGAGCCTGTGCTCCGCAACGGGAGAGGCCACAACAGTGAGAGGCCCACGTACAGCAAAAAACAAAACAAAACAAAACAAAAAAACAAAAATATATATGTATGTGTGTACATATATACATATATATATTCTTTTTTAGATTCTTTTCCATTATAGGTTATTACAATATATTGAATATAGTTCTCTGTGGTATACAGTAGGTCCTTGTTGGTTACCTATTTTCTATATAGTAGTGTGTATATTTTAACCCCAAACTCCTAATTTATCCCTGCCCCCCCTTTTCCCCTTTGGTAACCCTAAATTTGTTTTCTATGTCTGTGAGTCTTTCTGTTTTGTAAGTAAGTTCATTTGTATCGTTTTTTAAAAATTCCAAACCTGGAAGCTCCTGCCTCTCTGTATCTTTTGCCTTTGCTGATTTTAATTTGCATCTTTTCACTTTAATAATCCATAACTGTGAGTATAACTGCTTTCTTGAGTCCAGTGAGTTCTTCTAGAGAATCACTGAGCTTGAGGGTGAGCCAGGGACCTCAACTCAAATTCATATGAATTCACATTTACATATGTAACTAGTGACATGGGAAGTCAGAATAATACACATAAACGTTTTTGGATTATTTGTCTTGGTGGTAGAGAAAAAGGACTGATGGAGGACATAGGGGTTTAGCTCTATAAACTTCTAGACTATTTGAAACTTTGACACTAAGAATATTTTAAGCTTCACTAATATTGGATATTTTTAAAAGAAAGAGGTTAAGTATTAACTATGAACTGAGAGTTTACACTACATTTTTGGGTGTGAAGAGATCATGATGGGAATATTCTAAGACTTTGCTAGTAAAGTTAACTTGGAACTGTTTGTTAATTAATATAGACTGGGATTTCTTAACCTTGGCACTATTGACATTTAGGGGTTGGATAATTCTCTGTTATGGAGACTTTTTTTGTGTGTGTGTGTGGGGAGGCTTTGTGCATTGTAGGATGTTTAGCAGTGTCCCTGGCCTCTATCTACTAGATCCCATTAATATCCCTCCCCAGTCATGACAATCAAAAATGTCTCCAGATATTCTCAAATGTGCCCTGGGGAGACAAAATCATCCCCAGATGGGAACCACTGATTTAAATAAAAAACTGAATTTTGAGGACTGTTAGTGGAAGACCATTTGATAGTCACAGAATCCATCCATTCTTCTTGATAATCTAGGTTTCACCCCAGGCCACCAGGAGGCCATGGATTTGGGCTACACTGTTTTGAAACCCTGAAGCACTCTGATCACTCTGATTTTGGCTTTGGCAGGACACCACTGGCTTATCTGAGGACTGCTGAGAAATAACCAAACGAAACTTACCACTTTATCAGTGGCTTGCACTGAAGGCACTGAGCACCATATGATCAAAATAATAACCCATCAAAGAAATTTCTTCCTACTTAAGGGACATGAACTATTTCACTTTCCTAGAAGAGATTTCTCCTTAAGGCAAAACAAATCACCAACAATTTTTTCATTATGGCCATGTGGTAAATTATATTTCCCAAAGAAGACCACAACAGTTTATCTCCCATTCCAAAAAACCTTCTGCAAACCTTCTTCCACTCCCCATCAAGAGGTGGACCCTATTCCCTTCCCCTTGAATCTAGCTGGTCTTAGTGACTTGCTCTTAACCAATAGAGTGTAACAAAATGAAAATGCTAACTTCCAAGGGTAAGGCAGAAAAGGCAGTGTAACTTCAGTCTGTTTCTCGCAGGATACAGCATCATACTGTGAGAAGTCCAAGCTACATGGAGAGGACATGCATAAGTGCTCTGGTCAAAAACCTCAGCTAAGCCTAGCTTTTGAGTCAAGTGATCCTGGAAAACAGACATGGGAAAGAAGAAGCCTCCAGATGATTCCAGCCTCCAACTTTTTGAGTCTTCCCAGCTGAAGTTCCAGACATCATGGTGTGTAAGACAAGCCGTACAGTAAAGGATTAGCACAGAAAGTCTGTATTGTCCATATCCTGCACATGCCAAAGAAAGGTCTGGCTCTTGCCAGTTTATGGGAAGTAACCTCTAAGCCCTTGAAATATCTTTGTTTACACAGGAGCATTGGGCCACACCAAATAGTCTATTGCTATCAATGTGATTTATGGTGGAGGCCTTGGGCCACACTGTAGCAACTTGACTTCTGAAAGGGCTGGACACTAAGGTCAGCCATTGCCTATGTAACCAACCTCATATAAAAAGCCTAGACACTAATTAGCAATACTCAATATGTGTTGTTACAAATCATTGCTGGGAAACTAAAACAATGTTCACATGACTCCATCTGAGAGGGAACAACTGGAAGCTTCTGCCTGGTGTCTCCTGGACCTGGCCTTGTGCACCTTCCTCTTTTGTTGATTTTAATCTTTATCCTTTTGTTGTAATAATCCATAACTGTGATTATAACTGCATTGCTGAGTACTGTTGAGTTCTTCTTGTAAATCACTGAACCTGAGGGTGGTCTTTGTAACCCAAAAACATAAAGCCATCACCATAGGGTCCTGTCTCACTTTCTGACCCACTGAATCCATGAGGATGATCAAAATAAACGTTTACCACTAGACTTTGGGGTGGCTTGTTAGGCAGCAATAGATAACTGGAACAGGGGATACTAGAGACAAGTTTGTGCTCAATTTTATTAAATATTTAGAGCCTCGCAGGCTATAATCTATGTGTTAACTTTAAACAATTTGTATAAACATATGACTTACATATTCTCATTGTGTCCTTACTGTGAAGTTGATCTTTTGTCTCAGTCCTTTTTCCTGAATTCTGACACTTATCTTTTCATGCTGATCTGGTATAGTGTAGTCTTCGTAAATATTGAATAAACATATATTTTAAATATATGTATTTAACCTCCTAAAATCTACTGGAAAGCCAAATGGAAAATAAATATACAAAAAAAACCAACTCACCTGGGACTTGGACATTTTCTGGAGCCCTTAGGAACAACCAGCAACTCTAATATCTGTTCTATTGTTGATTCTGGTCTCTTCCCTGAAGCTCCAGTACGGAGTCTCTGGTGAAGGATGTAATGTTGATCTTGGTACCTTCAGTTCCTTCCTTCATTGGAACTACTTCATCCCAGGAAGACAAGACCTGGGGGATTACAGAAATTCACTGCTGTAATAAACTATAACTGGGAGCATAATATTTTTCTGAGTTGTGTGCGTCCTTATTTGTATGTGTGTATGTATTTTAGATATACACACATATAAAAATCTAAAATTTAATTATGTTTTCTTCAGGTGGTTGGTTAATGTGATAAAGAAAACAAGTAACATGTATTATTTGATGGTTTATTTTACAACAAACATTAACTATTTTATAATAAATAAACATCAACAACAAAGCTATCTTCATTAAATTATGTAATTGTGCTAAAATTATTCAAAACTAGATCTACATTTAGAGAAGGACCATTATATAAAGAAATTTTAAAAAAGAAGAAAAATTTAAAAGCCTAAAATCCAGAGAAATGGTATATATATACTGGAATACTGCTTGCTAAAACGTGTCTTGGGTACTTACTATGTGCTAGGTACTCTAACTATATGAGTAGTTAGTACTGAGCTTTTTTTTAAACAAATGGGAAAAGAATCACAGGTTGAGAAATGCCCAAGTTCACATAGTAAGTGGCAGAATATGGAGAAAAACCTAGGTCTGCCGAAATCCAAAGTCCCTATTCTTTTCTCTGAGTTAAACTTAACTGCAGCTGACTGCTTACCTGGAAAACCTACAAGAATCACTTTAAACACTTTAGTAATAATAAGAGTTCAGTAAGGAAATGAAAAAAAAAAGTTTAATCATCTACTTTTATACCTATAAAATAAAAGTAATTCAAAGTTCAAGGAAGCGACTTGCCTGGTGGTCCAGCGGTTAAGACTCCGCGCTCCCAATGCAGGGGGACCGGGTTCAATCTCTGGTCAGGGAACTAGATCCTGCATGCTGCAACTAAGAGCCTGCATGCCGCAACTTAAAAAGATCCCGCATGCCACAATGAAGATCCCGCACGCCACAGCTAAGACCTGGCACAGCCAAGTAAATAAATAAATATTAAAAAAAAAAAAAAGTTAAAGGGAAAGAAGCTATTTGTAACGGCAGCAAATATAGATAAGATCTAGGAATAAACTTAACGAGCAATGTCCAGATCTATATGATACTTTAAAGTCATGTCTATCCAAATTATTGCAAAGATTTAATATAACTTCAGTCACCATTGCAACGAGATCCACATTATAGAATACTGTGCAGCTATCAATAAGACTTTGTACCAAAAGTCAGTAATCTGGAACAATTTTATCGTATAAGGTTAACTTTCTTTTTTGAAGGTTAAGTTTCTTTAAAAAGACAAGTTATAAGCCATTTATGCAGTGTTATCACATCTTTGTAATAAAATGAGTAACAGAAAAGTTTGGAAAAGGAAACATATCAAAATTTTAACAACGTGTATTTCTGGCTATCAAGATTTTGGATGTGGGAATGTCCTCTCGTGCATCAGAAGGTCCAGAAAGGGAGGATCCTAGAGAAATATGCGGTAAATTTGAAAACTAGAGGGCCAGATACCACATCTTTCGTAAAAGCATTTTACCTTAGATTTTATTTAGATCTTGGCCATTACAAAGCACCGTGGAGACAGTGAGAGGAGGAGGTGATTTAGAGCAGAGGTCCCCAACCTTTTTGGCACGAGGGACCGGTTTCCTGGAAGACAATTTTTCCACGGAAGGGGGGTGTGGTTCAGGCGGTAATGTGAGCGATGGGGAGCGGCCGATGAAGCTTCGCTCGCTTGCCCGCCGCTCATCTCCTGCTGTGCGGCCCAGGGGGTTGGAACTTGATTTAGAGGACAGAGGATGTTGGAAAGCAGGTTTTGAAGAAGGCACTAATGTAGTCTATGAGAAGTCAATGGGCCTTAAAACCCCCAAAGCCCTCCAAAATGCAGAGACTGCTCAAGCTCCAACTCCCATAAATCTCTCAGGTAACAATGCCTAACTACATCATACCCAAAATATGGGCCACATGGCTACTTCATAGTTCATGACTTCTAACAGATTATCATTAGCCTATCCAGACCCAAACACCCAGATCCCCGTGACTCTCAGTGACCACTGGAGACCCTCAAAGAAAAGAAACAAAGCTGCCCCAAGCACTAACCTCCCCACAAGGCCACCCCATTCACTGGCCTTGGGGTGATTTGGGGAATGATACCCCAATCACCGACCCCCTCCCCTAAGTACATCGCAAACACTCACTAAGCCAAGGACATCAAACACGTTGAACTGCCAACCAAGTATGTCTCAATCACTGACCTCCCTTCATGGACACTCCCATTAGTGAACCTTCCCAAAGACGTCCCAATCACTGACTTATGTACCAAGGATTCCCCAGTCACTGACCCTCCTGGGATGCTCCAATCGCTGACATCCCTCTAAGGCTGTCCTAAGAACTGATCTTCCCCCAGAAGACCTTTTCAGGCTCTGACACACCCTCAAAGACACCCCAATTCCTGACTTCCTTCAAGGGATACCCGATCACTGACCAGTCATTCACCCCCAATCAACCTTTCCCCGAAAGATGCCCCAATCACAGACTTGTCCCCTAAGTGCATCCCAATCACTAGCCCACACCCTAAATCATGCCAAACACTGATTTGCCTCCAAGACCGCCCAGTCACTGACCTCTCCTATAAATGCTAACCCCAAGCCATCCCAATCTTTCTGCATGCTACTCCAATACCCTGAGCATCCCCAGGGCTGCCCCATTTCCTACCATCCTACTCCCTCAATAACGGGAGTTATAACTCCCTCATCCCCTGCACTACAAGGTGTTGCTCCTCCCACAGACTTCCCGTATCCCTCCCCTACCTCCGCAAAGCTCAACCTGATTCTGCTCCCAGAACGCGAAACTGAGACCCCTTAAGAGATCCTTCGCGCGCCAGCTGGGTGGGTACAAATAGGGACAGTCCATTACTTTCTTCAGATTCACAAACCCGGCTGTTCCACCTCGCAGGTCAAGTTTATCCTCTGTAGCACCCGAATCTGCAGGCTGCCAACCATCACCCCGGGGCGTCCTTCCACCGGCCAAGAGGCCGTTTAACTTTCGCCTCTTTTAGACAAAGACACTATGACAGAGTATGGCGGCGCCCTGTTAGCTGATTTATGTGGGACCCGCCATCTTGGAAAACCAGCCGTACAACCACTTTTCCTGCCCCACAAAACTTGCCTGCGTTATGTCAATCGCTAGCGTCGCAAAGGGTAATACGCATGCTCTAGCCCATCTCCACCGGATTCAGGTCTCTTCCCGGTAAGGTGTCCCAAGCCCAAAGATGTCTGCCTCCGCTTTGCAACTGGTACCTTACAAAGCTATATAACATCATAGCGGGCGCAGCCATGCTGAAAAAGGTGCTCAAATCCGTAAGGGAAAAGGAGTCTTCCTTTAGGGAGTTGGGAGCAGGTGGAGCGACTTGCAGGAATGCTTCTGAAGAAAGGTTTAGGGTCTGGAGAAGCCAAGGTGGTAGAGGAAGGTAGCATGCCTCACTGTGGGCACAGAGTAAACAAATTTAGTTGAAGGAAAAGATCTTCTTCAGCCAAAATTGGTGGTGGAAGTTTGGTGACACCTCCAGGGTGAAAGGTGAGAGGGCTGTAGAGAGGGTGGAGCTAATAGTGAGGGAGGGGTTATGTTTCTGACTGAGGTGGAAGGTGGTGAAATTTCTGGTGGAAGACCAGAAATTGTTGGTAGAAATTTCTGTGCAGGCTTTCTGTCAATTCAAATGTTTTCATATAATTTTTCTCATGAAGAAATTATTAGAATTGGAATTGTTGAGTCAAAGAGAAGGAAAATTTTTAATTGGATAGATTTTTCCAGATTGTTGTCCAAACATGTTTTGTTAGTGAATACACTTTACTGGCTGCTATCCAGCTTCTTCCAAGAACTCCAACTGAAAAGTAATAGCTAGTTTTTGTTAAGCGTATACACATTTTTTTTGAATAGGGGACATGTTCATGCATAATAATTGCATTATCTTTCTTAATATTCTGAAAGCCATTGATGGTGGACATAAATATTACCTTCATTTTATATATGGGGAAAAGGGCTAATTCTATCAGAGTGCCTATTTTCTAACCACCTCATCAACCTTTTAATTTTGCCCAACCTAAGGGCGACTAAAAATATTATTTTATTTTATTAATTGTTTATTTACTGGTATTATTTTTTTCTGTTTTAGGTTGGTTATCTTCTTCTTAATCATACTGTGGATATTTATAACTATCAATTCAACTTCCATTCTCCCCATGTCTAAGCAACCACTGATTTACTTTCTGTCTCTATAGATTTACCTATTCTGGACATAAGTTCAGTCATAATATTTAGTCTTTGTAACTGGCTTCTTTCACTTAGCATAATGCTTTCAAGGCGCATCCATGTTGTAGCATGTTTCTGTACTTCATTCCTTTTTATATCTGAATAATATTCTGTTGTATGGATGCAGCACATTTTATTTTTCCCTTCATCGGTTGATGGATATTTGAGTTGTTTCCACTTTTGGCTATTATAAATAATGCTGCTGTAAACATTTGTGTACAAGTTTTTGTGTGGACATATGCTTTTATTTCTCTTGGATATAAACCTGGAGTGAAATTGCTGGATCATATGGTAAATATGTTTACTGTTTGGGGAACTCTAAGACTGTTTTCCAAAGTAGCTGCACAAAAGGAATACCAACTAAAGGAAAACTGTTTCTTCTACCCTAGGGTACTTCTCACAACAAAAGTTTGGTGGAGTTCATCCTACCAACTCCATTTTAAATGAGGTTTCTGTTTATTAATTTTCACGTGATGATAATGGAGTTTTCATTTGGGGGTACTGTCCGTGGTGTCCTGAAGGATGCTTCAAACAACTCTCCCTACAAACAGAAACAACCCTTTTCACACAAGCATTTCCTTTTTCCCATTCTTCCAATAGAGTTATATCTTAATTATGGTTGGATCAGATTTAGTGTTTACATTATGATGACTATGTAAATACTACATATAGTTCAGCCACTAGTATACTATGATTACTTTTCCTTTCTTGTACAACTTTTTTTTCTCCCTGGAGTTGTCTTATTTACTCCTTACAGAATTTCTGGCCTTTTGGTTCTCAGAAAGCTCCGCACTTGTTATTGGCTCCACCGCTGGCAGAAGGGAAGCGGGGTGTCACGTGTGAAAAACTCACCCCACCCCTGGATTCCCTCTTCCCATTGGCTCATGACTACTCTCCTCCCCTTCACTGGGCGGTAACCATGTTCCACCCCCAAATGTTTGCTAGGCTTCTGCCAGTTGCTGGTTTGTTTTTTTTTACTTTCTTTGACGGCGTTATGCTGTCCCCGTTACCGCGAGTGCTTCTCCAGACTCTTTTCTGTCCTTAAAGTCATCCTATCACCGTCCACATTGAGCCAGAAGCGTCCTCGGGGTATTTGCCTTTCGTCTTATATGTTTTCTCCTTTTCCTTTGGCTGTTTGTTGGTTTTTGTACGGACACCTAATTTCTAAGATGGCCGTGCCCACTGTGTCGTTTCCCAATCTTCGTGCAAAGTGGATTACTTTTCCCCCCAGCCCGCTGAGGCGGACGTATCCTACCCCGTTTCCCTTGTGTGAGCTCGAGTTTCTGAAAATCCGTGCAGTTTGCGGCGCAGGGTTTAAGTGGGGGTACTTTGGATGGCTTTTATCCGTTCCGTGCCTTCCGTGGCTACTTGGACAAAAACTGCCACTTCGCTTTCTGTACGGCGAGTCCTGAAAGGTGGCGGCCCCGGGATCCGTGGCGAGATGGGCGCAGACATGATCTCCGTGCCTGCTCCGTACAAACGCTGCGTGGCCCTCGTCGGCCGCCGTAGTCCGGCGCGGAGGCTGGGCGAAGGCGCAACAGTAAAAGAATTCACGGAAGTGCGTATTCTAGGAGGTAGTGGTGGGATCAGGAGAAAATCGGGACCGTGTGTGGATCTCTGCGTGGAACAGGATGAGGGAAACGAGGTGTCTGTGGGCGTCGGGGTGGGGTAGAGCCGTGGGGTCCGTAGAGGGAGAGGAAGCAAGTGGGAGTCGGTGACTGGGGTATTTATGATTGGGGTGACGGAGTCAGTCCTGAAGGATTCTGGTGTTAGTGATTACAGGCCAGTCGAAATCTAGGATTGAAAGTCCGTAATCAGAGTTTTGTGTCTGTCTGCAGTGCTCTGTGATTGAGGACTGCGGTAGGGAATGACTTTTGTCAATGAAAGCGGTGTCTGGTTTGGAGTCGGGATTTAGTAGCGGGCTCAATGGCAGGAGTGGGGGTCTCATGGTCAGCGAACCTGGGCATCTAGTCCAGGTTTCGGGATTATTCCGAGTGTATGTGACCAGTGGTTGCCGTGGGTGGTCCAGGTGTGTCAGTCGTTGAGAAGTTTGTGAGAGCTGAAGCTGGTCGGTGGGTGGGTGTTTTCAAACGTGACTTTCTCCTTCAGTTCCTCAAGTCCAAGGCCTCGTTTGCCAATCGCCTTTGGCTTTCCACATCTTCTCTCGACCCCGTAGAAATGAAAGCGTTGCTGGAGATCGAGGATTAAGCACACGTAAAGTGGTAAGGTTTCTACTAAAGATGAGGATTTTGCCCTTCCTGCAAGTTTACTGCGTGTGTGCATACACACACTTGTAAATATTTCCTTTCAGAGTTGTTCTAGCACAAGTAAAATAACATCTCTATTACCCCAATTCTATTCTCCAACGATAACGTTTGTTAAATTTTCCATATAGTTCCTTTTAGTCTTCATTTTTCTATGCTTGATTTTCACAATTCCAATAAACTGCCGAAATTTTAGTACAATTTGCCTCATCATTTAATTTCCTATCATAAACATTACTAATAAATATATCATAAATTTTTTTTCTGTAAGAGTTGTTTTTTAAGAATTTCTACAGATACCAAGAGAAAAACCTGTTCCATTAATGACTGGAATCACTCAATATGTGCATTCATTTAGATAGAATTTAAATGCTTAAATATTCATTTATCACTTCTGAGAACAGGTTATGATTCTGCATTTACATAAGGGTGTGGTTCCCTGTCCCTCATCTACATTTCCTGTAAATATTTTAGTAAGCATATAATTAGAGTTCTACTCATAGCTTTTTTCTAATAACAGCTTTTTTTTTATTCATACACCATACAATTCATCCACTTAAAGCATACAATTCAGTGGTTTTTTATTGTAATCACATTCCTTGAACTCGTTTTATATAATGCATGTTTTTATACTTTTACTAAATGTGTATATATCCACAAATAGTAATCTTTGTTGTATATGCCTTAATTTTTTTCTTGGTTTTCCTTTGTTTGTTTCTTTCACATAATGACGATTAGTGAAGATGGTTCAATGACTTTAAACAGGTCCATGAGCACACATGGTTTCCAAGGAATAGCTGTCCAGGTCCTCACCTTTTATATGTTCTCTTTCCAAAAACTGGTCTGTGATAATTCCCCTGCCGCGGGGGCATCGTGTTGTGCTGGTTCTCCTTTCCCATCTCCCCTTTCACATTCACCCCACTTCCACTTCACAGAAGGAAGAAACAGTACCCACACATTCACAATCTTCTATTTTATTGCTCCAGGGTGTAATAGCCTCTGGGACCCCAAATAAAGGAACAGATGGCTTTGAAATCAGGTGGGTGACGGTGGCAGTGACAACATCTGGGTCCAGAGGAAATTTACACTCAAAGTGAATTTATTTTTCAGCTCACAGGTCGTGGTTCCTGGAGCAAGATACATCATGTGATGTGAGAAGGTTTCACGACCTGGATATCATCATTTGTGGGGACATCACTGCCTGGAGACTAAGATTTCTAACCAGAAATTTAGGGCAGTTCAAGAAGAGGCTCAGGAGACATCCTAGCTTTGGCTGTTTCCCAATAACAGATGAAAATGATCAAGGACCAGGTGATTTTTGGTTTGTCTTATTCTTTCCTTCATTCTGTGATTGATTTCTGGGGGGACTTTAAAATGCAATTGAATTCAATAGAAATAACAAATTGGAAAACTAGAATTTGTGCAGAAATAAATTTAGATTTAAATTCAACATCAAGGCAAAGTAGCATCAGAAATATATTGTTTGTGGGACCTACACTAAATGACTAATGTTGGAATATCTTCTGTGATTGGAGTATCCAGTGGGTTACATGCACTGTCGACTCATGTCTAATAGCTCTGACGGTCATCACAGCCAGAGACTCCTGATGATGATGGGATAGACATTGACTCTGAGGAGAAAGCTGACCAGTTCCTCAGAGGATGTCACTGTATATTTCATGGCACTCAGGTCTTGGGACTTTTCAAATGGTTCATCCTAGAGGTGATATGGCAGACAGTGTCCTTAACTACAACCTTCTCATAAATGAAAAGCTGGTTCTCCAGAGATCCCTTTGGAAATAGACCAAGAAAACTCAGCGGGCACAGTGCTTCATGGGACCATAGCAAGGTGACCCATGGACCCAACCTTGTAGTGGTCAGGGTTAGCTTGGGAGTAAAACCTAGATGACATAAGAAAATGGAAGGGTGGCATGACTTTCCAAGGTCCCGTATGAACAGGTGATCAAACAGGTGTTTGAGTACAGATTTGGCAGGAGGGACTTGAAAGTATCTGTGTCTGGTAAAGTTGTTGCGATCTCAGGGTTTGCTTTAGAACTTCCTGCTATTAAACATAGAAAACAAACTTATGGTTACCAAAGAGGAAAGGGGCAAGGGGAGATAAATTAGGAATTTGGGATTAACAGATACACACTACTATATATAAAATACATGAACAATAAGGACCCACTCTGTAGCACAGGGAACTATATTCAATATCTTATAATAACCTATAATGGAAAAGAATCTGCAAAAGAATAGACATATTCAATATATATATGTATAACTGAATCACTTTGCTGTACATCTGAGACACTGTAAATCAATGATACTTAAATTTAAAAAAAAAAGAACTTCCAGCTATTGAAGGTAGTCCACTTCCCCTCTCTGTGTTCAAAGCCAAGTCCTACTGCTTCATCTTTCATTACCTTTAAAAAATTTCATAATACAAATATGCGTGAATACATTTGTAAAACTCCAGTGATGACAAAGTACATCTAGTGAAAAAGTAAGAGTCCTCTTCCTACGCTTCTTTCCTAATCCCCTGGTGTCGCTTAACAAATGTGCAAGAGTGTGTACTTCCAGTCACTGAGCTGTGTGTACATCTGTGTCTGTATGGATGTTTGTGGGTGCATCTAACTCAGCTCTTAGGTCTTTGGGTAGTGCCTTTCCATTACTGTATTTACTTTTTCATAAACTGAGCTGGGAATGTGAGACCTCACTTTATCCTCTATATTTATTATTCTCTCTTTTATATTTTCCATCATTTTGTCCTTGTGCTGCATTTTGAGTAATTTCTTCATATCTACCTTCCTGTTTATTATCTCTTCAATGTATCTGATATGTTGTGAACCTGACTAGAAATGTAAATATAAATAATGTACCTATGTATATATGTACTTGTGTGTTTTTTGAAGGATGCTATTTATTTTCTTACTTTGAATAATGTTCTTTACTAGTCTCTCATTCTTTTAATATGTTTTAGAAAGGTGTTTTTATTCTTCCTAACATACAAAACATACTTAATATGTTGTATCTTATTATTATTATTTTTTTCCTGTGGTATGCGGGGCCTCTCACTGTTGTGGCCTCTCCCGTTGCGGAGCACAGGCTCCGGACGCGCAGGCTCAGCGGCCATGACTCATGGGCCCAGCCGCTCCACGGCATGTGGGATCTTCCCGGACCCGGGCACGAACCCGTGTCCCCTGCATCAGCAGGCGGACTCTCAACCACTGCGCCACCAGGGAAGCCCCCCGTTGTATCTTTTAATTATAGCGTCTGGAGTTTCTTCATGGTTGATTCTGATAATGGTTATGAAGATTCCTGGTGAATGTAGGAATATGTTTTGTTTGTCCCGATGTCATTAGAATATACTTAATACCTGGCAAATATGTACTCGCTACAAAAATATATATGTATATATATATATATACAGCAAATGTTTTAAATATATATTGTATATGTTTCTAGTTTAGCAAGAGGATTAATGACTACTTATCACAGAAACTTCTGATTTGCTGAATGATGGTTGACTGTATAATTACAGAATATTTTGCAATACATAAGTTAGAACATGGATAGATTTTGCTTCTATGACAATGTAGTTTTAAAAAATCAGGGGCATTCCCTGGTGGTCCAGTGGTTAGGACTTGGCACTTTCACTGCCAGTCACCTGGGTTCAACCCCTGATCAGGGAACTAAGATCCCCCAAGCCTCGCAGCACAGCCAAATTTTTTAAAAAATTAAAAAATAAATAAAAATCAAAGCACCTCCGTATATAGATGTAGCCTAAATGGTGAAAAAGAGCAGAACAACTTCCTTCACTTGCCTTCCATTTCAGTAACGAGAGAAACACTCATATTAAACAGGACCGTGTTGTTACAGGGATCACTGACACTGGAGGATGTGGCCGTGGACTTCACGTGGGAGGAGTGGCAGCTCCTGGCCCCTGCTCAGAAGGACCTGTACCGGGACGTGATGCTGGAGAACTATAGCAACCTGCTGTCCATTGGTGAGAACAGCTCCCCTTGGTCCCTCAGAGTCCCCAGTCAGTGGCCTCTCTTTCTTCAGCTTCTGAAAGTTTTGCAGTGTCCATGGTGCCCTGAAGTGGTAGATGAGTCTCAGTTCCTTCTCTGGCCCCAGACTAGAGTATAACGTGCCCTCTCCTGAGAGATGAGCCTTTCCTTTGCTGAGCCGCAAATTGCATAGTTCGTAAAATGTAACATTCTTCCATGTTGGCAGACCACAGCCCAATTCAAGAGTCTGTCTCTCTGTCGTTTCCCACGAACAGGGTATCAAGCCAGCAAGCCGGATGCTCTCTCCAGATTGGAACGAGGAGAACCGTGGCCAGTAGAAGATGAAATCCACAGTCAAATCTGTCCAGGTGAGTAAGAGAACCAGCATTGAGCGGCCAAAGGAGTCATATTCTAATCATTCAGAGATATCACAGCTGTGTATGTCTGAGGACATGGAAGCATAGCCTCCACCGAAGAGCTCTTTTTCTTTTAGTGGTGTCGAGGAACATCTCTTCTAGGATTTGATCCCTATTTATTTCACCTGGGTCTTGATTTTTTATTTTTCCTCTAAGTTTCTTCTTAGAATTCTCAAATCTTAGAATTCTCAAATCTTCCCATCCTTCTTCCCCCAGCACTGTATCACTACCTGTTCCTTCTACTTGTCTTGCTATGAAATTCAACCTTCCACACCTCTCTCTAAACAGAGATGTTTTGATTTCAGTGCTGTCTTCTGACAATTGCACCTTCTTGCCCCTTTGGATAATAATTGATTTCCATTCCTAACGTTCACGCCATCTTTGGAGGTTAGGATTTCAACGTATAAATTGTGGGAGGAACATAAACGTTCAGTCTCTAGTACCTTCTGTTTCTTTCTTCATATATTCTGGCTGTGCTCGAGAAACCTCAGTCCTCCTCTTGTGTTTCTTCTTTGTTCTCACACCACTGCCACACTCACGGCACTTCTGACACCAGCAATTCTCTGTGACACCAGCTAAGTGTCCTACAGTTTAACTAAATTCTGACACTGTCTGCCTGGAGAAAGCATGAGATCCCACAGGTTAAGGGCTCCATCACACAAGACTTCCCTGACCTCCACTTCAGATGCCAAACACAAGTCCATATTGTTACCTGTGCTTCTGACCAACTGGCTGTAGACCGGAGCTTCCCAAGACTCCCTCCTCCTCAGGTTCAATTCATTTGCTAGAGTGGCACACAGAACTCAGAGAAACATTTTACTTACTAGATCACCAGTTTGTTATGAAAGGATTTAAGTCAGGAAAAGCCAGGTGGAAGAGATGCACAGGGTACGGGGAAGGAGCGTGGAGCTTCCATGGCCTCTCTGGGTGTGATGCTCTCCCAACACCTCCTTCTGTTCAGCCATCTGTAGGCTCTCTGAACCCCGTAATTTTTAAAGGAGGCCTTATCGCCCTGGGCATGACTGATCATTAACTTCATTTCCAGCCCTTCCAGCAAATGCAGCCATGTGTGAGGGGGCTACGTTGTGCTCTTGGCAGCTAGGAATTTAGCTTAGGCCCCCTCATCTTACATCCTTTAGGAAAGGGAATGTCTCTGTAAGATGCCTTAAAGCAGCTATATCAGCGATGTGGGTAGGTCCCTTGGGTGAATCGCATTCCATGAAGACAAAATAGCAAGGTCAGTAGCCTGAGGCAGGAGCATGTTTTAGGAATCTGGAGGAAGCCTGTGTGAGTACAGTGGAGTGAGTGAGATGGACAGTGGATGGAGAAAGTACGGAGATGACGGCAGTGAGGTAGTAGGTGGAGTTTGGAGTAGACAGGTCATGTAGGACCTTTCAGGGCCACTTCAAGGACTTGATTTTTTTGTTTGTTTTTTTAAGATTTTTTTGATGTGGATCATTTTTAAAGTCGTTATTGAATTTGTTACAATATCGCTCCTGTTTTATGTTTTGGTTTTTTGGCTGCAAGGCATCTGTGATGTTAGCTCACCGACCAGGGATTGAACCCACACGCCCTGCATTGGAAGGCGAAGTCTTAAAGCACTGGACTGCCAGGGAAGTCCATGATTTTTTTTTTAATTAATTAATTTTTTTGACTGCACCGTGCAGCTTGCAAGATCTCAGTTTCCCAACCAGGGACTGAACCTGGGCCACAGCAGTGAGAGCCCCGAATCCTAACCAGCAGGCCACCAGGGAACTCCCAAGGACTTCATTTTTTAAAAACAATCAAATGAGAAAACAGTAGGGCATAATATAATTTATATTTTAAATGATCACTTTGTGGGACTTCCCTGGTGGTCCAGTGGTTAAGACTCCATACTTCTACTGCAGGGGGTGCAGGTTCGATCCTTGGTCGGGGAACTAAGATCCCACGTGCTGCGTGGTGCGGCCAAAAGAAAAAAAAAAGATCACTTCGATATGGGAAAAGAATCTGAAAGAGAATATATATATATATATATATATAACTGAATCACTTTGCTGTACACCTGAAACTAACACAACATTGTAAATCAACTATACCCCCAATATAAAATAAAACATTTAAAAAATAAAATAAAATGATCACTTTGACTACTTTGTAGAAGGGAAGTTGAAGCCTGAAATCCAGTCAGTGTAGCCCATTGCTGTAGTATAAGACAGAATGCTTGTCTTCAACCTGGGTAGAGGGGGTGAGGGTTAGTGAGCTTGGAAATATATTTATAAAGGAGAGAAGGCATTTCCTATTGAAGTAGATAATGGGTTGAAAGAAAAATACAACTGAAGGATGACGCTAAGGTTCTTGGCATGAGTCTGGGGAAGAGTGGAGTCGCCATTTCTGAGATGAAGAAGGTGTATGGAGAAGGAGATGTGGGTTGAGAAATCAGGAGTTTTGTTTTGGCCATTGTAATTTAGACGTGTTTGTTCACATCACCTTGGATGCAAATGCTCTGTTGCATTTGGATCTACCCAAGGATTTAGGACTAGAGTTAGAAATGTGGACAGATTGAGATCTCCTATGGGATGAGTACAGATTAAGAAGAGACTTGGATTAAAAAAAAAATTGTGGGCACTATACTCAATGTTTTGTAATAACCTATAAGGGAAAATAATCTGAAAAAGAATATGTATATATATAAAAATAAGGAGGATTCATATAGAAAAATATATTTATATAAGTAAATTTATATAACTATAACTAAATATGTAACTAAATATATTTACAGAAATGAACTTATATAAATATATAAATAAATATAATAATAGAAATTATATAAATATGTAAATAAATATAGTTATAGAAATAAATTTATATAAATATATTTATAGAAGTAAATTTATATAAATATATAAATAAATATATTTATAGAAATCCTATACTAAGGATTTATATATATATATATATATATATATATAAAACTGAATCCCTTTGCTGTACACCTGAAACTAGCACAATGTTGGAAATCAACTATACTTCAATACAAAAATAATAAAAAATTAAAATTGAAAAATAAAAACAGTAGAACTGAAAAAAATTGCTATATGTATACAAACATCAAATCATTATGTTGTACACCTGAAACTAATATAATGTCGTATGTCAATTATACCTTGATTTGAAAAAAAAGAAAGGAAGAAAGATTCTTTTGAGTAGAGATTACATACATGCAAGGTAGAATTAAAAAAAAAAAAAAAAAAAGAAGAGCCTTGGACCACTAGCAGCCCGGAAGATGAGGATTTGTGAAATGCATGGTTTCCTAATACATGTACTAGGACCTCTTATTTTCAGAGTGTGTATTTTTGGTAGATTTGGGGTGGACGGCCTGGACTAGTCTATACATAATGTTGTAAGCAGGCCCTCTTGAACCTACTTGGTGAACCACAGACTTAATGTGTGCTAGAGGAGATTAGTGAGAAATAAATCAGTACATTCTAGGAGTAAGATTTTAGTAACAAACAGAGGATAAATCTGCAGGTAATATGTGGAAGTTCCTCTTTTGAATGCAGCATCTTTGCTATAGTTCGGGGTTATGTGAACTAAATTGTCTAAATGAACAGTAAAGGTGGGGACTACTTTAGAAATGTAGGGGAAACAGAGCTTACAGTGACATAGAATGATAGCGTGATATATAGGAGGCATATCTGGGATTTGAGTAAAGATGAGGAAGGGCAAGTAATGAAGGTGTGAATTTGGAAATGTGCAAGGCCTTGAGGAACTTGGTCAAAAGATTGGCCTGAAGCCACTTGAAGGCCAGTTTTAGAAGGTATTTGTAGAGGAATGAGTAGAGTGTGGACATGGATAAATGGAGTAAAAGTTGGTAATGTAACTTTTATTTCCAGGCTGTTCTGGACTTTGTTAGTATAGTTGACCCTTGAACAGCATGAGTTTGAACTGCATGGGTCCACTTATATGTGGATTTTTTTCAGTGACTACATACTGTAGTATTACACAATCCAAGGTTGGTTGAATCCTCAGATGCACAACCTTGGATACAGGGGGCCGACTATAAAGTTATACCTGGATTTTTGACCACATGGAGGGCCTGTACCCCTATCCCCCGCCTTGTTCAACCGTCACCTGTAATTGAGGTATAGTGGTGGCATTGTGAATTTGATCTGTATTATCCTTGGATATGTAGTCTTTCTTTTGAACTGGGTGGCAGCAGTGTGAGCTATAGTTAAGTACATCCAGTAGTTCTAAGCCAAATGGCAGGCAAAACTGTCAAGAGTCTTGGTCCAGGATCAGAAGTGTGATCCTTTAGGACCCCTTAAGTGGTAGAAACCAAGATGGGTATGCAGACTTTTGAAAGAAAATGCTATTAATGGCAGGATGTGGGTTTAGGGATCACTACAATGAAATGGGAACAATTTAAATGTTCCATATATACAAGTACAAAGGGTGAATGAAAAAGATGCCAGTTCCCTAGTATGATATTGTAATATAAGATATATATGTACTTGGTCTTTGGCCTGGTTTCTGGCATAGAGCTCCTAAAAGTCTTGTAGCTTCCTGAGTATAGGATCACTTATTTCCTTTATTAGTATTGGTATAGTCAATGTTTGGTGCTCCTCCATGGGCTTTTTAAAACCCAAAGTCTTAATGTTATAATAATTGTAAACTTGGTCACACGCCTTCATCTATTGATACTTTCAGTCTACACATTTTCCATCCTGTCCTCTATCCTTATATATATAATATTTATATACAAATGATTCCCACATTGTTATCTCCTTTCCCACATGGTTAAGACCTTTCTCAGGATCTTCATAGCCAATTGAATTCTTCATGTCTGTTTTGGATATCCAAAACCCACCTGGAGTTGATATGCTTTGAAATGCACGCTTGATTTCCCCACATTGTGAACCTCAATAATAGTCTCCATCTCATTAAAAACCACTACTCACCTATCCAGTGGCCTAGGTCACATAATTAGGAATAATACTTGATTCCTTGCATTTAAGGATTTATGCATGTATGAATGTGTCCCACAGCATTTGGAAAAAAATATCCCTCTGTCTTCTGTGGTCTGGTGCTCATAATAACTTGATTTTATTTTACTATCAGCATAATTTATAAGGTTACAATTACAAAGCAGCCAAATCTCTATTTGCTCATTTTGAATGCTCTAACCTCGTTTATGCCCTGTTTTTACCTTTTATTTTCTTTGTTTACATTATTGTATTTTACCCTTGTCCAAGTGATAACAAACATATATTGGAGTTTCTTTTTTTTTTTTTTAGTGGAAGTATAGTTGATTTACACTGTTGTGTTAATTTCTGCTGTACAGCAAAGTGATTCAGATATATATATATATATACACACACACACACACACACACACACACACACACGTTCTTTTTCATATTGTTTTCCATTGTGGTTTATAACAGCATATTGAATATACTTCCCTGTGCTATACAATAGGACCTTGTTGTTTATCCATCCTATATATAATAGTTTGCATCAGCTAATCCCAAACTCCCAATCCATCCCTCCACCACCCACCTCCCTTTTGGCAACCACAAGTCTGTTCCCTATGTCTGTGAGTCTGTTTCTGTTTCATAGATAAGTTCATTTGTGTCATATTTTAGATTCCACATATAAGTTATATCATATGGTACTTGTCTTTCTCTTTCTGACCTACTTCACTTAGTATGATCATCTCTGGGTCCATCCATGTTGCTGCAAATAGCATTATTTCATTCTTTTTTATGGCTGAGTAGTATTCCATTGTATACATGTACCACATCTTGTTTATTCATTCATCTGTCAATGGACATTTAGGTTGTTTCCATGTCTTGGCTATTCTGAACAGTGCTGCTATGAACACAGTGTGCATATATCTTTTTGAATTATAGTTTTGTCTGGATATATGCCTGGGAGTGGGATTGCTGGATCATATGGCAGCTCTATTTTAAGGAGCCTCCATACTGTTTTCCAGGGTGGCTGCACCAATTTACATTCCCACCAATGGTGTAGGAGGGTTCCCTTTTCTACTTGGAGTTTCTTTAGATATATTTTTTTAATGCTTTTCTATTTTTTTTAATTAATTTATTTTATTTATTTATTTCTGGCTGCACTGGGTCTTTGTTGCTTCATACGGGCTTTCTCTAGTTGTGATGAGCAGGGGATACTCTTCGTTGGGGTGCGAGGGCTTCTCCTTGCAGTGGCTTCTCTTGTTGCGGAGCATGGGCTCTAGAGCGCAGGCTCAGTAGTTGTGGCACATGGGTTCAGTAGTTGTGGCTCACGGGCTCTAGAGCACAGGCTCAGTAGTTGTGGCTCACGGGCTGTAGCGTGCAGGTTCAGTAGTTGTGGCACACGGGCTTAGTTGCTCCGCGGCATGTGGGATCTTCCCGGACCAGTGCTCGAACCTGTGTCCCCTGCATTGGCAGGCAGATTCTTAACCACTGCGCCACCAGGGAAGCCCTGGAGTTTCTTTAAACTGAAGTCATAGTGTTGTCCATAAAGGGCCAGCCTACACAAAGGCGTTTGTTAAGTAGTTTCACTCTGTACCAAGCTATGGGAAGACTCATTCTTCTCTTCTTTCCTAGAAATGAGGAAAGATGACTGTCTTCTGCAGGAGGACTTGCAAAATCAAAGATGTCCAAAAAGAATGGAACAATATCACGAACATAATGCACTTGGAAACATTGTTCATCAGAGCAAAAGTAACTTTCCTTTAAGGCAAAATCATGATATGTTGGACTTTCATGGGAAAACACTGAAATCAAATTTAAGTTTAGTCAACCAGAACAGAAGCTATGGAGTAAAGAACCCTCTTGGAGATGGGGAATCCTTCCTCCATGCAAAGCATGAGCAATTTCATAGTGAAATGAAATTTACTGAATGTGGAAGTTCTATGAACACAAATTCACAGTTCATTAAGCATCTAGGAACTCAGAAGATAAATAAACCCCACTTATGCACTGAATGTGGGAAAGCTTTCATCAAGAAGTCCCGCCTCATCGATCATCAGAGAGTGCACACAGGAGAAAAACCTCATGGATGCAGTATATGTGGGAAAGCCTTCTCCAGAAAGTCCAGGCTCACTGAACACCAGAAAACCCATATAGGAGAGAAACGGTATACATGCACTGAATGTGACAAAGCCTTCCCCAAGAAATCACGGCTGCTTATTCATCAGAAAACTCATACAGGAGAAAAACCCTACATATGCGAGGAATGTGGAAAAGGCTTCATCAAGAAGTCTCGGCTCATTAATCATCAGAGAGTTCATACAGGAGAGAAACCTCATGGGTGCAGTCTATGCAACAAAGCATTCTCCAGGAAGTCCCGGCTCATCGAACATCAGAGAACTCATACGGGAGAAAAACCATATGAATGCACTGAATGTGACAAAGCCTTCCGCTGGAAATCACAGCTTAATGCACACCAGAAAACTCATACAGGAGAGAAATCATATATATGCAGTGATTGTGGAAAAGCCTTCATTCAGAAGGGCAATCTCATTGTGCATCAGCGAACTCACACTGGAGAGAAACCCTATATGTGCAATGAATGTGGAAAAGGCTTCATCCAGAAGGGCAATCTCCTCATACATCAACGAACTCACACTGGAGAGAAACCCTATGTATGCACTGAATGTGGGAAAGGCTTCAGCCAGAAAACATGCCTCATCTCACATCAGAGATTTCACACTGGAAAGACTCCCTTTGTATGTACCGAATGTGGAAAATCGTGTTCACACAAGTCTGGCCTCATTAACCATCAGAGAATTCACACAGGAGAGAAACCCTACGCATGCAGTGACTGTGGGAAAGCCTTCAGGGATAAGTCATGCCTCAATAGACATCGGAGAACTCATACAGGAGAAAGACCCTATGGATGCACTGACTGTGGGAAAGCCTTCTCCCACTTGTCATGCCTCGTGTACCACAAAGGGATGCTGCATGCAAGAGAGAAACGTGGAGATTCAGTCAAGTTGGAAAATCCTTTCTCAGAGAGTCCCAGCTCATCACGTTCGAGTGATATCATACAGGGGAAAAACCCTGTTAATGTGGTGAGCGTGCACACACCTTCTGTGGCAGCTGAGACTCCATTCCACAGTGATGGGTTCCTAGCAGATAGGAATGTAGTAGCCCTTGTGGGACAGCCAGGTGCCACAGGTGCAGTGTCAGCAGATAATAGCATTTGCACAGAAGAAAAACCTAATGAATGCAGTGAGTGTGGTAGCACCTTCAGTGATCAATTATGTCATATTTTACATCACAGAAAACACACAGAAATAAACTGTGATACAGTGAAGGTGGAAAACCCTTGAATAAAACCTTCTAGATCATCCTGTGGCTGGCAAGTGTATACTGAGACAAACAGTATAAACACAGAGACTGGGAAAGCCTTTAGTGGAAAGATAGACCCTATCAGGGCTTCATAGGTCACATACTGTCAGTGAGGACATAGTTGGTAGAAACGTAATGACCATGGAAAAATCCTTCCCCAGAAATAAGACTTCAGTTGGTATCAGAGAGTTTACACAGGAGAGAAATTGTTGGACCTCTGAAGGCAGTGACTGTGGCAGGGTTGTCAGTGGTACATTCTGCCTCATTGGTTGGCAGGAGAAATCATATAGAAATAAAACTCTGAACACACCAACTATGGAATGTCTTTGGCAAAATATCAGAAAATTCATGAAGCAAATAAGCCCTGTGAAAGTGAATCTTTTAGAGATTTCTGTCACAATCCTAACATAATCATATATAAGATTATATACATAGTGTACATTTTAGGACAGTATACCTTGAATCAAATGCCTAATTGATACGTCAGTAATGCTTTAAATCAAAGGAGGGTGTCTGTGTTGCACATAATTGATTAAAGTTATAATGCAGTTCACCCCCCTCGTTTGGGGGACATGGGTCTTCTTTTCCCACCCAGGATCATTATATGGTTAACTCTTGGATTTCTCCAGCTCTAAATTTATTCAGTTTGTTATTTCAGTCTACCAAAAGTCCTTCAGAAGGAAACTGAATACATTTAATCTGATAATGTAACATAGCATGTTTGGATATGCTTAACTTTATAAATCTCACCTGGAGGAACAAAGCTCAAAATTCATGAATAACCTATTAGCCAAGCTCTTGCCCTAGAAGATAGTTCCCATCCTGTACACACCACTCAGAAAAACTTTAACAACTGTTTCCTTGACCTGGTCCTGTCCTAGGACCTATAGATGATGTCAGTGATGAACTTAACAGAAAGTCCTTGCCGCCCTTGAGCTGGAACTTTTTTTAAAGCTAGGTTTCATGTCTATAGCAATTTTACCCTCTGGCAAAGATAATCAAAGGATGTGTACACCTACATTTGTTGAAAAGGACATATAGTATAAGGAACAAAGTATCCTGATAATTTCCTGTTTAAGGGACATATCAGAGGGGGAAAGGGAAAGGATTTACTTAATTTTACATAGAAAAAGGTATGGATACTTAAAAAAATTTTTCACATCCACCTAGATTATAAATTCCTTGACAGTATATAGATAATTGTATATTCCCCAGCACATAGCAAAATAGGAAATGAATTATATGTAGACTTGAAAAATGAATGAAGGCGAATGAATGACCTCATGGACTAACCAATCAAATTTATTTTTGTCACTGAAGGAAAGGAGCTACTGGCAAGCAATTCTCAGGCTCAGTATTATTCCAAGAAACATTTGTTTCTTGAATAGAGGCTCCTGTCAGACTATAAAAAGGGCAGATCAAAGAAGGACTAGGATCCATAGAATAAGCCCAATTAATGGAAGAAAATAACATCACTAAAAATGGAGGACTGGGGAGTTCCCTGGCGGTCCCAGTGTTTAGGAATTGGCAGTTTCAACTGTGGTGGCCCAGGTTTGACCGCTGGTCGGGGAACTAAGTCCCACAAGCCATGCGGCACGGCCAAAAAATAAAATTAATTAAAATGGAGGTTGGTACATGAGACAGGTGATGGTGAGATCCCTTTGACTGTTTTGGAGAACAAGCCTTACATTTGTCCACAGGCTTATCACCTTTTAGAGTTGCCGCCATTTCAAAGATCTAAGCTCCTCTGTAGCTCAACGAATTGAGACGTGATTTAGCCTCATCATTCATTCTCTCCTGGGGCTGGGGCCCTTGTCCTCTATTTCCATTCCTAGGGTTCTTTCCCTTGATCCAATAATGATGTATACAGCTTAAAAACAGTCCTGCTTATAAGGAAGAAAAAAAAAAGTGGAAATTTGCCATGGAGTGGCTGTCCCATAATTGAATTTCCAAACTCTGGGTGTGTGAGTAACTCACTACAACAAATATATTTCTGAGCACTGGCACTGTTGTAGACACAGAATATGCTGGTGAACAAAACATGCAAAGTAGTGGCCTTTTCACAGGATGGATTCAGGACAGATGCTCCTCAGTAAAGCATCAGAAATAGATTCTTCTTCAACTCGGAGTGCAGCTCTCTTCCACTTCTTGTGAATTGCACGTCCTATCATGGCAGTCACGGCGTCTTTCCCAGTGAAATCGTCCGTCTGGGTTCCCGAATGGGCTGCCCAAGCCTGCCCTGAGGACCAGGTGCTGAACTCACCTTTCAGAGGTTGGCATTCCAGGTAAATGAAAACGTTAATGGGATAGGGAATTCCTGGTCGCCCTCTTTAAGAAAGCCATACCAGAGTCTATCCTCTACTCCTCTACCCCTCGCATTCATAAAAACTATAGCTAACAGTTATTAAGTGTGCTGTTTGCCAAACAGTCACCGTATCATTTATTTAGCACTCTCCAATGCTCCATCTTTGTGTATTTTAGGCAAACGTTTGTATACGTTTGAAGGCTAATTCCTTTCTCCTTAGTACAGGTAACCACCTACTGTACACAGTTGTACGTGTCTGTCAAATGAGAGTTCCAACATCAGGGTTTGGAGTCTTAGTGGGTTGCTCTACCTTGTGTGTCTCAGTGATGGAGAACTGGGGTCAGTGGTGGTTGTGTTAGTTGGCTGGGGCTGTCATAATAAAGTACCACAGACATTTTTTTTCTCGCAGTTCTGGAGGCTGGAAGTCTGAGATCACAGTGTCAGCAGGGTTGATTTCTTCCAAGGTCTCTCTTCGGCTTGTAGATGGCCATTTTCTCCCCGTGTCTTCACATTATACCAGTTATATTGGATTAGGACCCACTGTAATAACTTCACTTAAACTTAATTACCTCTTTGAAGACCTTATCTCCAAATATAGTCACATTCTGAGGTACTGGAGGTTATGACTTTAACAGATGGATTTGGGGGGAACACAGTTAAGCCCGTAACAGTGGTATTTGTCAGTGAATGCCATTCAAGTTTATATTGGGCTAACTGAGGGATCTGTCTGGTCGTCAGTAAATGGTAGTGTCTTTTCCAGGTTTGACAGTTAACAAAGGGTCATATGGTCAGTATCTGGGGAGGCCCACGTGTGTCTGTGTTGAGAAGCTGGAGATTTGGAGGCCCAGGATCCCTGGGCCACTGGGACAGACAATGAATGTTACTTTATCTTCAGTCCTTCAAGTGAGTCCCTCTTTAGGGAAATACATATATACGTACACAGACACTATACACACAAACACATGTATTTTCTGTAAAAGTAGTTGCTTCCTTGGGGACAAAGATAAGAAATAGCCACTATAGGCAAGAGGAGAGATTCCGTTTATGGAAAGTGCTTTAGGCTGAAAAATGAAGTAGAAGCTCTTCAGCTGTTCCTTCCTCAGTGGAGGACCATGGATGCTCGTTGGAAAAGTTGACTTTAGAAGGAATATACCCTGGATGCCTCTAAGAAGCTTCATTCACTCATTTCTGCCCCTGAGTAGCACTGCATTTGGGCTGTGCACATTTTCCTTTAATGATGTTGCAAAGAGTCAGATATGAAGGTCCTGGGGCCTCAAACTCAAGTCCTGATATTTGAGATACAGGATGGGAGGTGAGGGGCCCTGTGAGCTGGGAGGATGCAGGAAAGTCACAGAAGCTCATCATCAGAGAATAATTTGTGGCCATGTTTGGTGGAAGATGAGATCAAGATGATCCAGGAAGTTGGTGACCTACCCCAGAAATCTTTCACCCAGGCTCCAGGGTTTGGGCTGTAGAAAGCTGTGGAAGTGCTAGCCTCAGATCTGCTGCTCTTGGGGCAATCATGGAGCCTGAGGTTTGTGTGTTTCTATCTTTAAAAAATTTTTTTTAATTGGGATATATTTGATGAACAGTATTATGTAAGTTTCAAATGTGCAGCATAGTGATTCACAATTTTTAAAGGTCAACTCCATTTATTGTTATTATAAAATATTGGCTCTATTCCCTGTGTTATACAATATATCCTTGTAGCTTATTTATTTTATACGTAGTAGTTTGTACCTCTTAATCTCCTACCCCTATCTTGCCCCTCCCCACTTCCCTCTCCCCACTGGTAACAACTAGTTTGGTCTCTGTATCTGTGAATCTGCTGCTTTTTTGTTATATTCGCTAGTTTTATTTCTTAGATTCCACATATAAGTGATATACAGCATTTGTCTTTCTCTGACTTATTTCACTTAGCATAACACCCTCAAAGTCCATCCATGTTTTTGCAAATGGCAAAATTTCATTCTTTTTTATGGCTGAGTAGCATTCTATCATATATATATATACACCAGATCTTCTTTATCCATTCCTCTGTTGATGGACACTTAGTTTCCTTCCATATCTTGGCTATTATAAATAATGCTGCTGTGAACATAGGGGTACATGTATCCTTTTGAATTAGTGAGTTCATTTTTTAGATGTATACCCAGGAATGAAATTGCTGTGTCATATGGTAGTTCTATTATTAGTTTCTTTTTTTTTAATTGAAGTATAATTGATTTACAATGTTGTGTTAGTTTCAGATGTACAGCAAAGTGATTCAGTTCCGTATAGGAACTTTTCCATTATAGGTTATTACAAGATATTGAATATAGTTCCCTGTGCTATACAGTACGTCCTTGTTGTTTATCTGTTTTATATGTAGTAGTGTGTATCTGTTAATCCCAAACTCCTAATTTATTCCTTCCTCTCTCCCTGCGGTTTTTAGTTTTTTGAGAAATCTCCATACTGTTTTCCACAGTGGCTGAACCAATTTGTGTGTGTTTCTATCTTTGTGGAAGAAAGTGGTTTCATGTACCACAGTGTTATAAGGGATGATTTCAGAAGTTCAGGTTTTGCGTCTGTGACTTCGTGGCCATCCTCCAAGGGAGTTCTGGGTAGTAAACTCCTTTAAGGAAGTAACAAGGAGAGGTAAGGTTTATTCTGAGGGTGTCTGGTAAGGGAATACAACCATTGTTAAGGTCATGTGCTTGGAGAAAGGCAGACCTGGGTGCAGATTGTAGTCCTAACACATAGAGTATGCTCCTGAGCGAGATATTTAATCCCAAAGCCTTAATGAGAAATATATATATTTAGTCACTGCCTCTGGTTCCTGACACAGAGGTCATGAAACCCTTGTAATTTCCTGAGTGATGGGGGTGATAGGAGCATCTGACACAGAGCTGTTAAATCCCTTGGAATTTCCTGGGTGAAATAAAGTGACCCTGGGTAGGCTCCTGAATGGGGCTGGTCACCAGAAAGGCCAAATCATGATTAGAAGCGTGGAACTCTCCACCCCATCCCTTATACTATGGGGAAGGGAGCGGGACTAGAGATTGAGTTAAAAATCAATTATTCATTTAAATGATATATATATATATATGTACATATATATGTAGTCATTCATCTTTAAAATGTATCCATGAGTCAAGTGGGTCATTTTTTTTAAAGTAAAGGCAGTATATTTTTAATAATATATTTAATTATATATATATATGTTTATCAAACGAGGAAGTTCCCTTTTGTTTGGGGGGTCCCCAAGACCCCCCTCAGGTTTGATAATTTGCTAGAAGAACTCACAGAACTCAGAAATCTTGTTATCCTCCAAGTTACATTTATTATAGAAAGGATAGAGACTAAAATCAGCAAGGGAAAAAGGAAAAGCCACACCCACAATGTGATTTAAGGTGGAGGCTGTGGATACCATGGTGTCAGTGGACCTCTGCAGGGACTGGAGACTGAAGTCAAGCACGTGGGTGTCCTACCAGGCTGATGTGACCCAGCCCCAGTTAAGCCTCTGGACATCGGGGTTCAGGGAGCTCCCCTGGTTGGTGGTACTCCCTGCCTGCGGTCACACATTTATGCCAAGAAAGTAATGCTCACTACTACATATAAAATAAATAACCCAACAAGGGCCTATGGTAAAGCACAGGGAACTATACTCAATATTTTGTAATAACCTATAAGGGAAAAGAATCTGAAAAAGAATATATATATAAATATATGTATATGAATGTATAACTGAATCACTTTGCTGTACACCTGAAACTATGACAACATTGTAAATCAACTATACTTCAATTAAAAAATCAGTAAAGGGAAAAAAAAAAGTCACACTGCCCATGACTCCATTGTGGGAGGGCAGCTGGAAGTTCCATGTTTGCAATTTCCCTGGGCTCTGCCCTTCAAGCCTCTCCCCTTGGCTGATGTTAATCTGTATCCTTTAACTGTAATGAACCCTCACTTTCAGCAGAACAGCTGTCAGTGAGTTCTGAGCCCCTCTTGCAAATTATTGTGGTCTTATGGAATATTGTCCCTAACTGCAGTAGCTCTGTGTTGCCTTTTGGGTAATTTCTAGCTCACTAATTATCCCTTCAAGGCCTATACATAAGCTTTTAACTCGTGTGGACACATGCCACAGGCGTATGTTTCTTTACTTTTTTCCTCAAATCTGACCAATTTTCTCTTTATAGTTTCCTGTTCTTTTTTTTTTTTCCAAGGATTTTGACTTTATTATTGGGACTTCCCTGGCGGTCCAGTGGTTAAGACTTCACCTTCCAATGCAGGGGTACAAGTTCAATCCCTGGTCAGGGAGCTAAGATCCCACATGCCTAGGGGCCGAAAAACAAAAACATCAAAGAACAGAAGCAATATTATAACAAGTTCAAGGAAGACTTTAAAAATGGTTCACATAAAAAAAAAAAAAAGGATTTTAACTTTATTATTAACTGTTGTATCTCTGGGCCAAGAATAGTGCTTGGCACACAGTAGATGCTCCATAAATACTTTTGAATGAATATGCAGTCAATATTTCTATGGGGTTTAGAGGTTTCTTATTTAATTCTTATTTTTCAAGGGAAGGATCATTTTAATCTCTATTTTATAAATGAAGAAAATGAGGTTTAAAAGCATTCATGTGTGTAGGGCTTAAGGCCCGCTATAGTTTCCTGTTCTGTAGACTGTTTTTTTTTTTTTTTGGCTGTGCTGTGCAACTTGCAGAATCTTAGTTCCCCAACCAAGGATAGAACCTGGGCCCTCTGCAGTGAGAGCGCAGCGTTCTAACCACTGGACCGCCAGGGAATTCCCTAAAATACTTTATTCTTTATAACATTTTAAACACATTTATTAAACATGTCATCTCTTGTAATTCTGGCATCTCTTGTCTCTACATGGTGAATTCTGATCCACCAAGTCAGGGAAGGCCCTTGATGAATGTAATAATATGTTTTATTAATCTTGATATCACCCATATGTGTATAGTGTTTGGCAAATAAGTATATATATGTAGAGTTATGTATATGTAGTTCTTGGTTAGCAAGAGGATATAATGGCTACGCATTATACAAATTTCTCATTTGTTGAATAAATAGAATTATGAATGTATAATTGCAGAATATCCCAATAGTGTTTTCCTTCTACTACAAGGTGTTTTTTTAAAAAAACTACTTGTATTAATGCAGCCTATTTGGTGAAAATAACAGAATAACTTCCTTTACATGCCTTCTTCCTTACATCAGTAGAAGGGAAACAATTTATATTAAACAGGACCGTGTTGTGACAGGAATCCCCGACATATGACGACATGGCTATGAAGTTCACGTGGGAGGAGTGGCAGCTCCTGGACCCCAATCAGAAGGACCCGTACCCAGATGTGATGCTGGAGAACCATAGCAACCTGGTATCTTGTGGGTGAGGACGTGTTCACTGTGTCCCTCAGAGAATCTTCAGTCAGTGGCCATTTTTCTCAGCTGCTTAATGCTTCAGTATCTACAATGCTCTCAAGGAGTAGATTCTCAGATCCTTCTCTGCTCCAGACAAGTGTATAATGTTCCCTCTCCTGAGAGAAAAGCCTCTCCTTTGCAGATGTGAAAACTTCCCTCAAAGGTAGCTTTCTCCCATCTTGACATCCCAGCCCAATTTGATGTGTCTAAGTCTTCTGTCATTTCCCGTGGACAGGGTGTCAAGCCTGCAGACCAGATGCATCCTCCAAGTTGGAACGAGGGGAAGAACCGTGGCCAATAGAAGATGAAAACCGCAGTTGAACCTGTTCAGGTGTGTAGCTGATAACCAGCAAGGTGGGTGGCCAGGGAAGTCATATTCTAGTCAGTAAGAGAAAGTCCCATGGCTGTGAGAGTGTTTGAGGATGTCTAAACAACTGCACCTTGTATCTATCTTCCCATATGAGAGCTTTTTCTTCACAGGTGTTTAAAGGGAAATAGACCCCCATTTCTTCCTCTGAGATCAGATCCCAGTGGTCCCTGTTTATTTTACATACATCTTGATTTTCTTTGTTGTTTACCTACTTTTCTTCTTAGGTTTCTTACATCTTCTCCTTTTTTGTCCTCTGTCACAGCATCTCTGCCTATTTCTTCCACCTGCCTTGCTACAAGATTCTACCTTCCTGCTCTTACTCCAAAGATCTTTGAAGGGACCTTCCTTGTGGTGCAGTGGTTAAGAATCCTCCTGCCAGTGCAGGGGACACGGGTTCGAGCCCTGGTCCAGGAAGATCCCACATGCCACAAAGCAACTAAGCCCGTGTGCCACAACTGCTGAGCCCACGGCCACAACTACTGACGCCCGTGCACCTAGAGCCCGTGCTCAGCAACAAGAGAAGGTACCACAATGAAAGGCCTGTGCACCGCAATGAAGAGTAGCCCCTGCTCGCCGCAACTAGAGAAAGCCTGCACACAGCAACGAAGACCCACTGCAGCCAAAAATAAATTAATTAATTTTTTTTAAAAAAAGAAAAGTGATTTTTGAATTCAGCAGTTTTCTAACTAGTGCATCTTCCTGCTTCGTTGGGAAATAGTGATTTCCCTTCCTGACATTTAACCCCACGTTAAATGCTGTACCCACACCATAACTTGATCTCTGTGTGTTTATATGGTTTCTTAGCTTCTTGCTATAGATTAAGTGTTGGGGTCCCCCCAATCATGTGTTGAAACCCTAACCACAAGGTGATGGTATTAGGAGGTGGGCCCTTTGAGAGGTGATTAGGTCATGAGGACCCAGAGAGAGCTCTTGTCCCTTATCCCATATGAGGTGGGGGCTAGAAGGCGCTGTCTATGAGGAAGCAGGCCCTCACCAGGCACCAAATCTACTAGCGTCTTGATCATGGACTTCTTAGCCTCTGGAACCATGAGAAGTAAATTTCTGTCCTTTATAATCCACCCAGTCTATGGTATATTGTTATAGCAGCTCGAATGGACTAAGACTTCTCTTTGTCCCAGTCTGGAATTCTCCAGAGGTTCTGTTTTCTTTATTCCCTCTCCCACAATTTGAACTCATCAGGAAGCCCTGTCTCACTCTATCACATATCCTCATTTCCTCCACCTCTCTCCATCACCTTTGCTCCTTCAGACCACTTCTCATAGTTTGTAGCTTCTTCCTTTTTTTCTTTGCTCGTTTTTTAAATTAATTTATTTATGGAAGTATAGTTAATTTACAGTGTTGTGTTACTTTCAAGTGTTCAGCAAAGTGATTCAGTTTTATATATATATATATATATATATATATATATATATTCTTTTTCAGGTTCTTTTCCATTATAGGTTATTACAAGATGCTGAGTATAATTCTCTGTGCTGTACGGTAGGTCCTTGTTGTTTATTTTATATATAGTAGTGTGTATATGTTAACCCGAAACTTCTAATTTATCCCTCCCCTGGCTTTTCCCTTTGGTAACCATAAGTTTGTTTTCTATGTCTGTGAGTCTATTTGTGTTTTGTAAATAAGTTCACTTGTATCATTTTTTTAGATTCCTCATATAACTGATATGATATCTGTCTCTGACTTGCTTCACTTAATATGATAATCTATAGGTCCATCCATTTATTATTTATTTATTATTATTTCATTTTTGCTAGCCAGGATGTCAACACAAGTGAGAAGAAAGAATATGTTCGTGTGTCCCCAACACCAGCACTATGGCCAGTACATAATAGGCATTTAACAAGGATTTGCTGAATGAAAGAAAGCAGCCCTTGTAATTTTTTATTTTTAAATATTTATTTATTTGGCTGTGCCGGGTCTTAGTTGTGGCACATGGGATCTTCATTGCCGGGTGCACAATCTTTTAGTTGCAGCATGCAGGCTCTTAGTTATGGCATGCAGGATGTAGTTCCCTGACCAGGGATCCAACCCTGGCCCCCTGCATTGGGAGCGCAGTGTCTTAATTACTGGACCACCAGGGAAGTCCCAGCCCTTGTAATTTTGGATCAGGTTTTCCTACCACCTCTATTTTCTCTTCTAACAGTGACTTGTTTTTTTTTTTAGTACCTTTGCACATTTTGCAAGGCAGTATTTAGAAAGCAGCCAGATCTACATTTATTCGTTGTGAATTACCTCAACTTGTTTGTACACTTTCTGTTTTTGCGACTTGATTTTTGTGTATTGTGGTTTTCCCAATGTCTAAGAAACAAGGAACTTTTTTTTTATTTTATTGAAGTATAGATGATTTACAATGTTGTGTTAATTTCTGCTGTACAGCAAAGTGATTCAGTTATACATATATATGCATTCTTTTTCATATTCTTTTACATTATGGCTTATCACAGGATTATAAGGAACATTATTGAAGATTCTTTTGTACTGAGATCATGCAACCAACACTAAAGATTTGATCCACACCTAAGCATTCACGTTCTCATCTTTTCTAGAAGTCAAGCAAGTTGATGATCAACTGGAGGAACACTTGCATGACCAACGATGCCTAAAGCGGATGGAACAATGCCACGAACATCATGCCTTTGAAAACACTGTTCATCCAGCCCAAAAGCATTTTCCTTTAAGACAAAATCATGGAAATTCTGCAAATTTAAATGTAGTAAAATCAGAACAGAAGCTATGAAATAAAGAACCCCGTGGGGTGTAACAGAGATGGGAAATCCTCTCTTTACAAAGCATGAGCAAATTCATACTAAAACTGCCTGAAATTGGAAAACTCAGCAGCACTAAGGCTCAGTTCATTAAGCATCAGAGAGATCACAGAGTTGAGAAATCCCATGTATGCAGTGAGTATGGGAAATCCTTCATCAGGAAGTCTCGGCTCATTAAACATCAGAGAATTCACCTGGGAGAGAGACCCCCATGGATGTAGCATACGTGGGAAAGCACATACCACAAAGTCCAGGCTCACCGAACACCAGAAAATCCATACAGGAGAGAAACCTTACGTATATGCTAAATGTGGCAAAGCCTTCCTCATTGAATCACGTATCATTTTACCTCAGAAAACTCAGACTGGAGAGAAACCCTCTATATGTAGATTGTGGAAATTGTTTCATCCCGAAGGTCAGTTTCATTGTACATTGGAACAAAGTATAGGAGATGAAAAGTCGTAAGATCCCCTTGGGATGTACTCGAGAAGAAACCTTGTATTTATTTGTTCACAGGCCTATGACCTTTGAGAGTTATCATCACTTCAAAGATTCCATCCACCCCCCAAAAAAGATTCCATCCCCTCTGTGACCTGTTCAATTAGACATGTGATTTTCCTTATCTTTTTCATTCCTTCTTACTCTTATGAGTGGAGCTCTTATCCCCTCTTCTTATCCAGAGTCTTTCCCTTGATCTATTAAACATATCCTGCTAAAAAATCTTGAGTCCTGCTTAAAGAACAAGAAATGGAAATTTGCTATGCAATAGCTGTCCTACATTTCCATCACAAACCCTGGATTATCGGGTAAATTTACTCCAACATAATATTTTTAAGCACCTAAACTTGGCCATCTAATATTTATTCAATCCTGTAATGTAGTCATTAGATAATTGAGAACAGGAAAATTTCATGATTGATTTGCATTTTACAAGGATCACCTTGCCTGTTCTATGAAGATGAGATCATATGGGTCAAGGATATAAGCAGGGACAATTCTAGTATCTCAGGTGAGAGATTGGGCCAGCATGGTAATGACGGTCCAGTGAGAGAAAATGAAACTGACTTCCTGCTTTGACCTTTCGTTATATGACTTTTATCGGTGCTTTCTGAGACTTACAAGGTCCTATGGAGTTGAACGTAATTGAAGAAAGTAGGTGAACTTTGCATCTGTGCCACAGCCTGTGTTCTCAAGATCTGTTTCCCCAGGGTGAATGAGCGTTCTAGCTCAGGGCTGGGGTGAGAGGAGGAAGAGAATATGAGCTGGAACAGGGTTAGAAATGGGTAGCAGGCCTGTAAATGGCTGGCAAAGACTTCTTGGTGACCTGATGAAGACGCATAGGACTGTGGGAAAACCAGTTCTTTGAGGTCATTTTATTTTTTGCACACAAATGTTCGTAGAAGTTCCACTGGCAGTATCCAAAAAACTGGAAACAATGCAAAGGTCCACCAACTGGTGAATGATTAAATTTTGGAATATCCAACAATGAATACTAAAGCAACAAAAAAGGAACGAACTATTGATACTTTTAAAATGATTAATTTCAGGACTTCCCTGGTGGCACAGTGGATAAGACCTCACCCTCCCAATACATGGGGCCCGTGTTCCATCCCTGGTCAGGTAACTAGATCCCACATGCATGTCACAACTAAGAGTTCGCATGCCACAACTAAGGAGCCCGCCTGCCGCAACTAAGGAACCTGTGAGCCACAACCAAATAAATAAATATATTTTTAAAAAATGATGAATTTCAAAACAGTCGTGCTATGTGAAAGAAGCCAGCACAGACACTACTAATTTTATGAAAAGAACGCAGACTAATCTGTAGTGACAGAAGGCGGTCCAGTGCTGCCCAGGATGGGCTGGGTAAGGAGCACGGTTGGGAAGAGGCTCACAACGTCCACCGTTTCCGCTCACTTTGTGATCGCTGCATCCCCCGTACTGTCACTTTTCCAAACCTTGGTCTTCCCCAAACACTTCATCTGCCAGTTCCACGCCGAGCTCCGCAGACAGCATTTGCCCCGCAGTACGGACGCCGAATCTCCTCTAAGAGGGCGGCGTCCACGGTGCTCCTGCCCAACGGCTCAAACCCGAAACGGCTACAGCGCGCCGCCAGGGTTGTTTTTGCCAAGCACGCTTAAGTTTTCATACGGCCTCTAAATCTTTTCGCAATTAAACCAGTTATCGAGGTGTCCAGAAGCAATTTTAACTTCCCACGCAGCCGAGACGTCACAGCCGCTCAGAATGTACTGAGCCCTTTCGGTCTTGATGGGCTCCGGGCTTTGAAAAATTTGCGCCGTTCACCGTCCACAAGCGGGCCCTGTCCATTCAAATGAATTTACCCCCACGTCATGTTTGCTTTGTATGAGCTCGAGCCTCTTAAAATCTCCCCATTTTCCTTTAAGGGGCTGAGGTACCAGGAAATAGGAGAGTCTTCAGCCGTGGTCTCTCAGCGGCCGCCACGCCTTCTGTACGTCAGGTGCGCAAAGATGGCGACCCCAGGGCGCCGAGTCTGTGGTGGCGGCGCGGACGTATTACCTCATAAGGAAAAGCCGGAAACTCCCAATCCGTTCACCATAGAAACGCGGTAGAAACGCCGCTGACCCTTGTCGGTTGGTCTCGGGAGAGGGGGCTGGGCGAGGGGACCAGAAGTAAAAGG